ATCATTAAGCTGCATAGATATAGAAATATATGATTTGTAGAAGATGATTGATGTAACTGCTGTAGGATTTAATTATTCGTCTAATTAAGTTAATTCTTAAAATAAAGCTTGCATCTAATACTAGTTGCGGTTTAAAGAAAAAAAAAAGAAAATTAGTAATGTTTTTTAGTATAAAAGTATAAAACTTCTTGTGAATATTTTTTTATATATTGTTAAAGGATGTGCGAAAGATTAAATAATTAATTTTTTAGATTTAATATTTAATTTATTTAATTTGTTAAAAGTTGTATCTTCCTAAAATCGGTTAGTATTCTGTATAATTTACTATACTTTATATATATTCGATTACGTAATCACGCGGTGTCCTAAATTCCGGATCATGGCGAGACCACGCTCTGTACATCAATCATATCATATTTAACATAAATTCAAGACTATATAAAGAATTTCTTGTTTATCAATATGTGCATCTCATCGATTTATTGATTCTATCATGAACTTTAAATTATTCTAATGTTTTAATAATAATTGCTTAAACGTATATTACAATAAATTAGTGAGATAAATTAGATCATGCAACCTTATAAACAATCAAGTATTGTGGAAGGGACGCTTCCTCCCTATACACAACCACCTCATCATAATTAAGATTACCGGTTTCACTGGGCTCCCCTAGCACACTGTTAAATCCAGGCGGCGGACTAGTTAACGTCATGTTATCTTTTGTTAACGGATGTCCCTTACCCACTACAACCTTATTCAATAACATCACTTTGTAGTTTTCCTTGAAATAGTTTTTTAATGAACCCTCATTATAATCATCAGATTTCGAAGAGGTTCCGGAAAAATATATGCCTCTCCTATAGTTTATCAAAAATAACAGTTAGTCTTTGCATAATCCAATATTGAAAACAAACTTTTGATGATTAAGAACTTATGAATACGGACCCAAAACGTTGGAATGCGGCAGAAATTGTGCCGGTCCCTACATAACGAAGTTTATATCCTTCTTTTATGATGCAACAAACAGAACAAGATTGATCGTTGCAAATTTCCCCGTTCTTTAAACCAATGAAACACGACCTAAATAAGGAATTTTTTACTACTTCATAAAGATACTAATAATACATCAAATGAATGAAAAGTAGAATCATTTTTAATTTGCATACATTTTTGTTCCATGAAAACGCCTTTGTTCATTTCCCGCACTCATTAAACGCCTTCCATCTCCTTTTGGAAAAGGCCTGCCAGCCAAATTATGCTCTCTTTCAACTTCTTCTCGATAATTATTATATCTATTGTTCATCTCTTCGGTGCAGTATATCTTCCATATCGAATCAATCTCGGGAATGGTTTTATGTCGGTGCTTCCAAGCGGCTTTAAACTGATTCGTAATGTCCTTATATTTTTCTCCGTTTGCTGGAAGTTTGAGAAGGCAAGGTGCTATCCAAATATTTTAAATTAATTTTTGATTATCCATTAACATGCGGACATGACAAAGTTCAAATACCTTTACTCCAAACAAAGCGTTCACATTGATCTCCGCAAAAGTCCTGACCTGCTAATACGTAGTTTCGGTTGCAATTCAAACATAATTGGTTGCTCTTTTCGGTTATTAAATTTCTCCAATTAGGAGTTTTATCCCGACAAGATTTTGAGCACCAAAGGGATCGTGGAAAGACGCGATTGGTCTAAGTAAATATTAATGACGATAACTTAGAAATTGACCGACAGTAAGCGTGCATAAACACAGAAAAACAACTACTTTGCATTGTAGACACATTGGTAGATTTCTACACTTCTTCCACCCACAAAATTCGGATCCAGTGATTCGAGGAAATTCTTTGCATTGTAAACATGGGGTGAAAAATCCTGATGCAAGCGCTTCTCGACGGCACTCATCACTACAATATTCGCTTGGGAAACCGTCAGTATCAGTATCTACTTTGCGTTTGCTACAATTTGAACAGGTTGCATCTCCTCTTGGTGGATTTTGAGGTTTAGGTGGAATTTCATAAACCTCAGAAACTATATTATTTTGATTCGTAACATTTGATGGTTGGAAATCGGCTGAGTGTTGAACTGGAGAAGTTGGGCCATGTGAAACTATAATAGGCTGACTTATAGGAGAATAGAGTTGCTGAATATAAACTGGCGAGGTTTGCGTTTGGATTGTTGGTGGTACCTGAACATGCGGATTTATTGGTGGGGTAAAGTTCGGGGGAGGCGGTGGTTGGTACACTGTCGTTCGAGGTTGCGCAGATATAGGCTGCGAGGTTGGTTTGGAACCCTTAAAGTTTAGTAATTGGTAAGTAAAATCAATTCTCCCGATTAATCATCGATCTAATCCATTCCTATGTTAAACACGTGAAGAGAGGGTTCGTAGAATTAAGAATTACCGGACAACAACTGTTTCCCATTGTAACTTTTGAAGAGAATTTCCGCAAGGCAGCAAAGTACTCTTACATTCAAATTAATCTCAAAAATTTTTTTAATGATTTAACAATAGCTTTGCGCATGTTTATATTTACGAAGATGTTGTACATAGGTTATGTTCTTGCAGTATGTACAAAAAAAAAATGTCAATCATTAACAAAAAGTTCAATTCAGTGGACCTTATACTCCGAGAATTTGTTACGAGGGTTAGAAATTCGTACTCCTGTTTAAATACAAAAATCATTTTTAATCCGCAGTCAAGTTAATTTTGATAGGAAAAAAATTTTTAATAAAAATATTAGCTTTATATATTATTATTTTTTTATCTATATATTATTAGATTGAATTTTTTATTTCAAAAATAATAAATTGCTAAATTAATTATATTAGAAAAATAATTTCTCAAGGAAAAGAAACAATTTAAGATCTATCAAAAAAGTTCAAAAATAAAAACAACTTCCTTTAAAAAAAGATTTGCCTAATTGGGATAGTCTTTTTACTTTACTTTAATTTTAAAAGAAATTTCTTATTTATTACCTATAATATCAAATAAATCAATTTAACTAATTTTTTATTTAAGTAAGCATTAAATTGAAATATTCCCAAAAAAAATATTTAAACCTTAGTTTTATCTATTAAAGTTTTATTATTGTTTAAGGAACTTAAATAAGAAATAGAAATCTGTAATTTATATTATCTAATACTTGATTTTTTAATATTGTAATCAAATTTATATTTGATCAATATATCCAAGTGAAATTATTTTTAAAAAAACAATTTTCAAAGAAAAAATTAAAGAAGTGATTTATAATAATAAAGAAATATTCAAGAATAGATTTATCAAAAATCCATCAAATGGTATTATACAATAGTTCACAAGAAATATGATTTATTTAGAATCAAAATTTATTAATAAATTAAGAAAACTAAGACAATTTCTTTAATCCTAAAATCAAGTGAAGATATTCAATCTTCAAGAAATCAAATAAAGTTATATTTAAACATATTTTACTTTTAAGTAAATTATAATTGTATATATACTTGTAAAAATGAATCACTTGGATTTTTTAAATCTTCTGGTTTACCCAATCTATGGTAAATTATGTCACTTATTACATTTGATAAAGTTATCTATATTAATTAAATATCAATAAGAATATCAAAGAATATCAAAGAAATAATTATAAATAAACAGATAAAATAGAAATTAAATGAAAATCATGACTAAAAATAATTATCCAATAGTATCAAGAACTATTTTTATAATAGTATTATAAATATCTTTATCAAAGAACTTGAGTTTTTATAAACAATTATTTTTTAAATATTTTTTTTAATTACTAATAAATTATTTAAACATATGAATGTAATCAATAAGAGCTTGTTTATATTTAAAAACTAACATGTTTTATATTAACCAATTATTTTTGATAAGGATTTATATTATTCAAAATTTAGAATCAAATAAAATAGATAAAATTCTTCAAAAAACTATAAAGGTAAAAGTTTTAAAAAAATCAAACCTATTTAAAAAGAAGAAAAAAAATATTTTTTATTGTTAACTTATTCTTATATCAAGATAGTCAAGTTTTATTAAAGTAAATAAAAAATCTAAGAATAATCAAAATTAATAACTATCTATAAAGTTTAAAAATTTATAGATCAACGAATAATACAAAAGAACTAATATTTTATTCAATTAGAATAAGGTAGTTATATAATTATCTAATATAGATAATTTACTTACAAATATAAAATAGTAAAAAAAATAAGTAATATATTAACTATAAATTTCTTTAGTTTATTTTTTAACACTTTTTAAAGTACAATCAAAGCTAATCTATCAAATGACATATTGCTATTTTTTATTATAGAGCTAATGTGTTAAGAATTAATCTAAGATATCTAGTATTACTAGTATTAAAAATTATTTTTAACTTTACTAGCACTAAAAATTTTTTTTTTAAAAAAAAAATTATATTTAATTTTTGTTACAAAAATGTTAATTATCAATTAGAATTGATAACAACACTCTTTTCATTAATTCTATAACTACACACAAAAAAGATATTTGCAAAAAATTTTGATATTTCTATATTAAAAAAGTTTTATTATTTTTTTTAATTAACTTAAAGAATTCCTTTCAGAATTTCCCCACTTTCTTACTATTTTATTTACAATTTCCTTTGAACAAATTGGACTCTTGTAATCTGTAAAGTTTAATTTCCACCTTTATTATTAATAGCAAGAAAGTTTTTAAAGGAAAAAGGATTAATAATGAAGTATCTATTGCCTCTTAGCTATAATAGAAAAACAATAGAGATTCTATTTCAGTCAAAGAACTTGTTTTTCTATTTTTTGACTAGTATTGTACCTTTTAAGAACTACATTTTTCATGGCTTTTTGGAAAATTTTGTCTATTTCAACTTGACCCTGAAATTTTGAATAGTACAAATATTATTGATTTTAATTGGCTAATATTAAACACATTGAACAAAATTAATAAACAAGCTCATATTGACCATCTCATATGTCTAAATACATTTTTCAATTCCATAAGAACCTGGAATCTACTATAAATTATATATATTGGTGTGGATAAATACCGGACATGTTATTGATATACTATTGGATATAAGAAAGAGTTTGTCGAACTATGGTAAAGGTCAGAAAATACTCAATTAACCTTTTGAAAATCAAAGTCACCTACTTCTGATTGTATGTCAAATAGGTCTCAATTTCTATTATATAAAAAAGTCCAATTGAAGAAAACAAGAAATAATTAGGAATACTTAGTAGCAAAGCCTATATATAAAGTAATTCATAAAGTTTTCATTTTATCTTTAAAAAATCCCAAGTTGGAAGACTAAAAAGTTAATACCATTATACTAATCAAAACTTGAGTTTGAAAATATTATCAGTAATATGTGAGCCAATCAGATTGTCTAAAAAATTCTTATTAATTGTTAGTACCAACAGTTACTAGCAAAGTATATTGATTGCAAGACTAAATATTATTCTTCTTATAAGAAATTAAATCTGAAATATGATGCACAGATAGGTAAGTATATCCATATTTAAATAGGAATGGATTTAATTGATAATATATTAAAAGACTCTCAAATCACTTATACAAATATCAATATACTACTTGGACCTTTCTGATTATTTCTTTCTATAAGTCTTAAAACTATAAAGTTTCCTTCATGATTTTTAACTTATTTCTGTAAAAACTTAGTAGAAATTCTTATCTTAAATTTTGTTTACCAGGGAAAAACAAAATAAGTATAATATTAAGAAACAAGATTAATATTCTTTCAACTTGATATATAACTATCTGTTTCAAAATTTTTCTTTTTCTCTTTACTTTTCAATAATATTAGTATGCTCTATGAAATATTGATTTTTTTTTATAAAAAGAAAAGGCAATAGATCTCAATATAGCATTAGTTTATCAAATCTTTTATTACTCTGAATATATATTTCTATATTTCTGTTATATATAATATATATACTGTATATAATTTGGAAATTCAATAAAATTAGGTATAAGCCTATAAAAAAAAAATTGCCAACTAATTATATTATTGATTTTCAGTAAAAAATAAATATATCAAAATTCTCTAAAAAAATATTATCCATAGACTATTAAATATGTTTACTAAAAAAGAGAAGAGAAAGAAGCTTTAGTATTTATTAAATGTGTCTTATTCTAACTTTTCTTTCTTAAATATCACTGAATAGGAGGATTCAATATTCTGTATCCACCTATATTAGATCCATATAATTTATGATAGATCTCAAATTCTTATAAGATTAAAAAAATATATTCAAATATATGAGATGATTAATAGGAACTTGTTTACAATCTTTTATTGATATGTATTCTCTTGTTCAATTATTAAGTAAAAAATATTGTATTACTCAAAATTCAGGATTAGACTGAGGTAAGCAAATTTTCTCAAAAAAAGATAAAGAAAGAGTATTATTAGAGCCAACAATATGACAAGAGAGTAAATGGTTATATTCTAAAAAGTCTCTTATTATATAAACAATTCTATAGTATTTTTTTACTAAATAAAGGAACAAAAGTAACTTTAATTCTTCCTTTTTTTAGAACTTTCTTGTAATTAGTAGAAAGGATTTTTTATAACTTGAGTTATTGAAAGTTATATTATATTTGAAAAAAAGTATTTACAATAGAAAGGAAAAATGTAGTAATAGTTTTTAAAGTTTTTTTCAAATTGATTTAAGAAGAGTAGTAAGACTTTTTTAAAATAAAAATATAGAAACTTTTAGTAAACATTTTTTTTGAGTGTAATCAAAGAGAGTGGAAAAAATTGATAAAAGATAGCTTAAAAAAAGAAAATAAGTTTTTTAACTATAATAAATCTCTATAAATCTTTTACTTCAAAGGTTAAAAGGACTTTAGGTACTTTATAATTAGTTTTTTTTTTTAAAAAAAACTTACTTGCCATTAGTATCAAAGGTATTGCTTAATTTTTCTTGATTATTAGAAATAAAATTTTTAAATAAAAAGGTTTGTAAATAAAGGAGAAAAATAAAAATAACTCTTGAAGTCATATTTCTAGTTGTTTTGGGAAAATATTAAAACTTTATTAGTAAGAAAGTATAAAAACTTCTTATAAACATCTTTTTTATATATGGTTAGAGAATTAATGGAAAAAGGTTTTTATTATTATAACAATTTTTTAATAGTTTTTTTTTTTTTTGTCCTTTGTCAGGCTAATTACGTATACTTTATTAAACATTTGTAAGCTGTACATATAATATGAGATGCTAAAGCTAATTCTTTAACTAACTCACTCGTC